GGGGGCGCTCAGCGCGCCGCACGGCCTGGACCGGGAGACGACACCCGCGCTGCTGCTGCTCGTAGAGGCCACTGACCGGCCGGCCAATGCCAGTCGCCGCCGAGCAGCGCGCGTCTCCGTGCGCGTCTTTGTCACCGATGAAAACGACAACTCGCCGGTCTTCACCTCCCCGTCACGCGTGCGTCTCCCGGAGGATCAGCCTCCCGGTCCCGTAGCTCTGCACCTGGTAGCCCGGGATCCCGACCTGGGCGAGGCCGCACGCGTGTCCTATCGCCTGGCGACTGGCGGGGACGGCCACTTCCGGCTTCACTCAAGCACTGGTGAGAGTTGCGCTGGCGGGTGAGGTCGAGGAGGGTGCCTATGTGGAGGGAGCGTTGAGGTCTCTACCAACCTGCCCTACTGCTCCCGCAGGGGCACTGTCCGTGGTGCGGCCCCTCGACCGCGAACAGCGAGCTGAGCACGTCCTGACAGTGGTGGCCTCAGACCATGGCTCCCCTCCGCGGTCGTCCACTCAGCTCCTGACTGTCAGTGTTGTTGACGTCAACGACGAGGCACCCACTTTCCAGCAGCAGGAGTATAGCGTCCTCTTGCGGGAGAACAGCCCGCCTGGCACATCTCTGCTGACTCTGAGAGCCACAGATCCGGACCTGGGTAAGACCTGGGGATGAAGTAGAAGAGGGACGGACTGGGAGAATGAAGCGTCTGTCTGCCCTCTGGTCACCCTCCGTGCTATCCCTCCTCAGGGGCCAATGGGCAAGTGACTTACGGAGGCGTCTCTGGTGAGAATTTTTCTCTGGACCCAAACACGGGAGTTCTCACTACCCTTCGGGCCCTGGATCGTGAGGAGCAGGAGGAGATCAACCTGACAGGTTATTGTCAAGCTCCCCAAAGCCACCAATGTTGTAAATATACTCACAAAGCCCAAAAAACTCTCTTCTAGAAGTTTCCATCTTTTATAGCACATCTTGTTGTATTTCTGGGCCTTTAAGAGTTAGGCGGGATGTTCTGACTTCTGGGCTGTCATCACTGAGCACACAGATTCTCAATTTATTGTATATTGTCACAGCTGTAGCCATTTAGTAGAGGAGCATATTGATATTGGGTATCAGAGAAGTTGAATGGCTTGCTGAAGCTAACACAGTTTGGAAGTGTCGGGCCTGGGACTTGAGCCCAAACCTTTGATACCTCATTTAGTGTCTTTTTCGGCCACACTGCCCCAATCCGAGGTCCATTTTGTATATACCAAGCATGGCAGATGGGAAGGGAAAGAACACCTTTTGACACATGTTGTTATGTAAATGTATGTGTGTGCCTGGGATGTATGGAGAGATAGATATTTTCTGGCTTATGTGTGTACCTGGTGAACTGTATGAACACTGTGGTGTGGGGTGGGGTGGTGTAGTTTTTTTGTGGGGTGGAGGCAAGCTAGACCTCATTGATTTTGCTTTCCCACAGTATATGCCCGGGACAGAGGCTCACCCCCCCTGTTAACTCATGTCACAGTTCGAGTAGCTGTAGAGGATGAAAATGATCATGCTCCAACCTTTGGGAATACCCACCTCTCCCTGGAAGTGCCTGAGGGCCAGGACCCCCAGACCCTTACCACACTTCGGGCCTCTGACCCAGACGTGGGAGCCAATGGGCAGCTGCAGTACCGCATCGTAGGTGAGAATCGTCCCTTGCCTACTACCCCAGCATCCACCTGCCTGGTTCTCGCTCCTGTTTTACTGCTGTCAGTTTTAGTCAGTGTGTCTTGGTCTCTCTTTTTATGTCTTCCACCTTTTCTTCACGCCTCTTTCAGTATCTGTTTGCGCCTCTCTTTTTATCTTGCTATTTGTCCCTCCATATAAAGCAGTGTGGTTTTCAAACACTTTGATCCCAAAAGCCTGAAGATTTTTCTCTCTTAAAGAACTCTAGAGAATTTTTGTATGGGTTATATCAACACACAGTGTCACATATTAAAACTTAGGAAAAAAAAAATAAAAAATAAAAAAATAAAAAAACTTAGGAAAATTTCAAGTATCACCAAGAAGCAAGCCACTGAAGTGTGCTGCTTGCCGTATTTTGGACAGGCACAAGGAACTGTTAGGATTTCAAATAACAGTTTGTTGGACATGACGTTGCAGAGGTTATAGGTATAACTGGAGATAGCCAGTACACTCTCTGAAAATACATATATTCATGCTGTAAACTTTCTACCAAGAATATTCTAGAAAATAAAAGTACATAAGCACACATGTGATGTCATCATGTTGTATAGCACTTCAAACTCCATTGTATATTTGTGAGATAATAAGAATGAAAAAAGCATATAAGGTCTATGAAAATAGTTTGACCGTGTATGTATGACAGGGGCTCAGGGGACTCCTGCATATCCCTAGCCTAACAGTGGTTGCTTTATAATATCTTTTTTTAAAACCTTCTTTGGCCAGGCGTGGTGCCGCATGCCTGTAATCCCCACACTTGGGAGGGTGAGGCAGGAGGATAGCCGTGAGTTTGAGGCCAGCTGAGCTACATAGTGAGTTCAAGGCCAGCCTGAACTACATAGCAACACCCTGTCTCCAAAAAACCTTTGTTTCTGTTTGTCTGTTTCTCTCTTCCTTTACCTTTCTCCAAGCCCCCTTCTGTTGCCTATAAATCACCCTGTGAATCATCCTCATGGCCTGACACATGTGTTTATGTGCACCTACCCTTCTCTGCAGATGGAGACCCATCAGGAGCGTTTGTCCTAAATCTTGACTCTGGGGAGTTTGGCACCATGAGGCCACTAGACCGAGAGGTGGAGCCAGCATTCCAGCTGCGGATAGAGGCTCGAGATGGAGGGCAGCCGGCTCTCAGTGCCACTCTGCTTGTGACAGTGACAGTTCTGGATGCCAATGACCATGCCCCAGCCTTTCCTGTGCCGGCCTATGCAGTTGAAGTGCCGGAGGATGCACCTGCAGGGACCCTGCTGATGCAGCTGCAGGCTCACGACCCTGATGCTGGGGCCAATGGTCATGTGACCTACTATCTGGGTGCAGGTACAGCAGGAGCCTTCCTGCTGGAGCCTGCCTCTGGAGAGCTGCGCACAGCCACCGCACTGGATAGAGAGCACTGCTCTAGCTATGCCTTTTCTGTGAGCGCAGTGGATGGTGCAGCTGCTGGACCCTTGAGCACCACAGTGCCCATCACCATCACGGTGCGCGATGTCAACGACCATGCACCCACTTTCCCCACCAGTCCTCTGCGCCTGCGCCTGCCCCGCCCAGGCCCCAGCCTCAGCACGCCAACTCTGGCTCTGGCCACACTGCGAGCTGAAGATCGTGACGCCGGCGCCAACGCCTCCATTCTGTACCGGCTGGCAGGCACACCGCCTCCTGGCACCACTGTGGACTCTTACACTGGTGAAATCCGTGTGGCCCGTTCCCCTGTAACTCTAGGCCCCCGGGATCGTGTCCTCTTCATTGTGGCTACTGACCTTGGCCGTCCAGCTCGCTCTGCCACCGGTGTGGTCATTGTTGGTCTTCAGGGGGAGTCTGAGCATGGACCCCGCTTTCCCCGGGCTAGTAATGAGGCTGTGCTTCGTGAGAATGCACCCCCAGGTGGGTCCCTAGTCATGTGTCCCAGATACATATCCTTGGATAGGCTGGAATTACTTAATGTAAGTGTTCCCCAAACTCCTGTAGTGCTCACAATCCAAGTATCTTCCTCTCCACAGGGACTCCTGTCGTCTCCCCCAAAGCTGTCCATGCTGGGGGCTCAAGTGGACCGATCACCTACAGCATTCTCAGTGGGAATGAGAAAGGCATATTCTCCATTCAGCCGAGTACAGGTGAAGAATGCGGGCAGGGGCTCTGTGAGGGCATGGGCTTCTGGGGAAGCAGGTTCTTTGGGCCAGAGGAAGCGCTGATGGGGGAAGAGCTGCCTTGGAGCAGAGTGGGAGGCTTCAGGGCAAGGAAGAGGGCTGTCACCGATGCACTCCACCTCCCCACAGGAGCCATCACAGTTCGCTCAGCAGAGGGCCTGGACTTTGAGACAAGTCCCCGGCTACGACTGGTGCTGCAGGCAGAGAGCGGAGGAGCCTTTGCCTTCTCCGTGCTGACCCTGACCTTGCAAGATACCAATGACAATGCTCCCCGTTTCCTGCAGCCCCACTATGTGGCTTTCCTACCAGAGTCTCGGCCATTGGAGGGACCCCTGCTGCAGGTTTGGGGCATGATGGGAAGAGAGGGATAAGGGCTGTCAGATTTGTTTATGGTCAGTCCGGTACTAGCAACCTCCTACACTCACCAGGTGGAGGCGGATGACCTGGATCAAGGTTCTGGAGGACAGATATCCTACAGTCTGGCTGCTTCCCAGCTGGCACGGGGCTTATTCCATGTAGACCCAGCCACAGGCACTATTACTACCACAGCTATCCTAGATCGTGAGATCTGGGCTGAAACACGGTGAGACCTGGCCCCCATGAACCCAAGACCCCATCCTGGTTCTGTTTATTTTTAAGCCCTGCGTTGCATCTCCCTCAGCCAAAAGATGCCACACCGTGAACACTCCTAAAGCCCACTCTATCCTGAGTCCTCCTAGCCCTTATCCCCAGGTCCTGCCTCCTGATTGTGCTCTATGTCCAGGCTTGTGCTGATGGCCACAGACAGAGGAAGCCCAGCCCTGGTGGGCTCAGCTACCCTGACAGTGATGGTCATTGATACCAATGACAATCGTCCCACCATCCCCCAGCCCTGGGAGCTCCGAGTGTCAGAAGGTGAGGCCTGGGTGAAATTAAGGTTTCAAAAGTGGCAGAGAGGCCCTGTTACCCACCCTGGAGCTCCAGGGCTGCCTGGAACGCTGCCAAACACACTTGTCTTTTGTATTACAGATGCACTATTGGGCTCAGAGATTGCGCAGGTAACAGGGAATGATGTGGACTCCGGACCAGTGCTGTGGTATGTGCTGAGCCCATCTGGGCCCCAGGATCCCTTTAGTATTGGCCGTTACGGAGGCCGTGTCTCCCTCATGGGTCCCCTGGACTTTGAGCAATGTGATCACTACCACCTGCAGCTGCTGGCACATGATGGACCTCATGAGGGCCGTGCCAACCTCACGGTGCTTGTGGAGGATGTCAATGACAATGCACCTACCTTCTCCCAGAGCCTCTACCAGGTACCAGCTTCCCTGGATGTCCCCACATCTGGGCTCTGGGTTGTACTGTTAGAGGGATGTGACAGAGCCAGAGTGGCTAGAAGGGATCGGATGTTAAAAGTTGATCTGGGCAAAAGAATGTCCCGTCTCAGACTGGCCTTCCAGGTGCTTCATCTTTTGGCCAAAAAGGGAAGAAGGTGGGCGGTTCTCATTTAAACAGAATACAAGGGAGAATGGGCTGTATGCTGAAATGGATACCAAGCAGGGCTTGTGGGGCCCAGCTCCAGCACACAGGTAGAGAGAGCAGCAGGGTAGCTGGGATACCTGACCATGGGCACTTTTCCTCACATCTCAGGTCATGCTGCTTGAGCACACTCCCCCAGGCAGTGCCATTCTCTCTGTTTCTGCCACTGACCGGGACTCCGGTGCCAACGGTCACGTCTCCTACCACCTAGCTTCACCTGCTGAAGGCTTCAGTGTTGACCCCAACAATGGTAGGTCTTCCCCAGAATCTGACCCTTTAGCTTTGACCATGTTGGATCACATTTGGAGCTAATTCCTAGAATTTGTTACCCCAAATTTTGACTCCTGGATCTCTAACCCAGGGAGGACATTTCCTCTTGTCTTTAATATAGTAGGCCCTTTTCTGACTAGAAGCTGTTTCCTGAACCTGAACCTTAGAAACCATTCCCTACTCATCCAGCACATGGGCCATTCTCCAGAGTCTCACTTCCCTCTTCCGCTGTCTGCTCTTGTGCTGGCACACAGCCCCTTCTGAATGCGTATTTCTGTCTCTTCCCTTCTCATCTCAGGAACTTTGTTCACAACTGTGGGAACAGTGGCCTTTGGCGGTGAGGGGCCAGGAGTGGTGGATGTGGTGCTGGAAGCACGGGACCATGGGGTTCCAGGCCGGGCAGCACGGGCCACAGTGCACGTGCAGCTGCAGGACCAGAATGACCACTCCCCAAGCTTCACATTGCCACACTACCGTGTGGCCGTGAGTGAAGATCTGCCTCCTGGGTCCACCCTGCTCACCCTGGAGGCCACAGATGCTGACGGAAGCCGCACCCATGCCACCGTGGACTACAGCATCATCAGTGGCAACCGCGGCCGGGTCTTCCAACTAGAACCCCGGCTGGCTGAAGTTGGAGAGGGTGTTGGACCAGGTCCCCAGGCACTGGGCTGCCTGATGTTGCTTGAGCCTCTAGACTTTGAAAGCCTGACGCAATATAATCTAACTGTGATTGCAGCTGACCGGGGCCAGCCACCCCGCAGTTCAGCTGTGCCAGTCACTGTCACTGTACTAGATGTCAATGACAACCCACCTGTCTTTACCCAAGCATCCTACCGTGTGACAGTACCTGAGGACATGCCAGTTGGAGCTGAGCTGCTGCATGTGGAGGCCTCTGATGCTGACCCTGGCCCTCATGGCCTTGTGCATTTCACCCTTAGCTCAGGTGACCCGCTGGGGCTCTTTGAGCTGGATGAGAGCTCTGGTGCCTTGCGACTGGCCCACCCCTTGGACTGTGAGACCCAAGCTCGACACCAGCTTGTAGTGCAGGCTACTGACCCTGCTGGGACACATTTTGCTTTGGCTCCAGTGACAGTTGAGGTCCAGGATGTGAATGACCATGGTCCAGCCTTCCCACTGAACTTACTCAGCACCAGCCTGGCAGAGAACCAGCCTCCAGGAACTCTTGTGACCACTCTGCATGCAATTGATGGGGATGCTGGGGCTTTTGGGAGGCTCCGCTACAGCCTGTTGGAGGCTGGGCCAGGGCCTGAGGGTCGTGAGGCATTTGCACTGAACAGCTCAACTGGGGAGTTGCGGGCACGAGTGCCTTTTGACTATGAGCACACGGGAAGCTTCCGCCTGCTGGTTGGTGCTGCTGACGCTGGGAATCTCTCAGCCTCTGTCACTGTGTCAGTCCTGGTGACTGGAGAGGATGAGTATGACCCTGTGTTCCTGGCTCCAGCTTTCCACTTCCAAGTGCCAGAAGGTGCCCAGCGTGGCCACAGCTTGGGTCATGTGCAGGCCACAGATGAGGATGGGGGTGCTGATGGCCTGGTGCTCTATTCCCTTGCCACCTCTTCCCCTTATTTCGGTATCAACCAGACTACAGGTGTCCTGTACCTTCGGGTGGACAGTCGGGCACCAGGTAGTGGAACAGCCACTTCAGGAGGTGGGGGCCGGACCCGGCGTGAGGCACCACGGGAGCTGAGATTGGAGGTAGTAGCTCGGGGACCTCTGCCTGGTTCCCGGAGTGCCACAGTGCCTGTGACCGTGGATATCACCCATACTGCCCTGGGCTTGGCACCTGACCTCAACCTGCTGTTGGTGGGGGCTGTGGCTGCCTCCTTGGGAGTTGTAGTGGTGCTTGCACTAGCAGCCCTGGTGCTAGGGCTGGTTCGAGCTCGTAACCGCAAGGCCGAGGCAGCCCCTGGCCCAATGTCACAGGCAGCACCCCTAGCCAGCGGCTCCCTGCAGAAACTGGGCCAGGAGCCACCCAGTCCACCACCTTCAGAGCATCTGTATCACCAGACTCTCCCCAGCTATGGTGGGCCAGGAGCCGGAGGGCCCTATCCCCGTGGTGGCTCCCTGGACCCGTCACACTCAAGCGGCCGCGGCTCAGCAGAGGCTGCAGAGGATGATGAGATTCGTATGATCAACGAGTTCCCTCGTGTGGCCAGCGTGGCCTCCTCCCTGGCAGCCCGTGGCCCTGACTCAGGCATCCAGCAAGATGCAGATGGACTGAGTGACACATCCTGTGAGCCACCTGCGCCTGACACGTGGTATAAGGGCCGAAAGGCAGGGCTGCTGCTGCCAGGTGCAGGAACCACTCTGTACCGAGAGGAGGGACCCACAGCCACCGCCACAGCCTTCCTGGGGGGCTGTGGCCTAAGCCCTGCACCCACTGGGGACTATGGCTTCCCAGCAGACGGCAAGCCCTGTGTGGCAGGTGCGCTGACAGCCATTGTGGCTGGTGAGGAGGAGCTCCGTGGCAGCTATAACTGGGACTACCTGCTGAGCTGGTGCCCGCAGTTCCAGCCACTGGCCAGTGTCTTCACAGAGATCGCTCGGCTCAAGGATGAAGCTCGGCCATGTCCCCCTGCTCCCCGAATCGACCCACCACCCCTCATCACTGCTGTGGCCCACCCAGGAGCCAAGTCTGTGCCCCCCAAGCCTGCAAGCACAGCTGCCGCCCGGGCCATCTTCCCACCGACCTCTCACCGCTCCCCCATCAGCCATGAAGGCTCCCTGTCCTCTGCTGCCATGTCCCCCAGCTTCTCCCCCTCGCTGTCTCCTTTGGCTGCTCGCTCACCCGTTGTCTCGCCGTTTGGGGTGGCCCAGGGCCCCTCAGCCTCGGCCCTCAGTGCAGAGTCTGGCCTGGAGCCACCTGATGACACAGAGCTGCACATCTAGCTGCGGCCCAGGCTGGGCCCCGACCTGGGATGCGCACAGCGTCCCCAATGCAGGCCCCACCCTGAGCCTGCCCTGGGCAGCCTCGGACCATGACTGGCCATGGGGAGGCCACCACCAAGTCCCAACTCTCCACCCCAAACTCCTCCCGTGGGGGCAGGTCCCACATTTCCCCCCAACCCCTCAGAGAACTGGGACCAGAGGGTCTGTTGGTCCCTGACCTGTGGCCAGGTCCAGTGTGGGGCGAAGTATGAAGGAGGCCGCAGCCCTGGGCTCTCGGCAAGGACTTCCTGCCTGCACCAGCAACCTGAGACGGAGCAGAGACTTTATTTATTGGGGGGTAGGGGAATGAGGGAGGTATCTCCAAACTGTTAGGGCCCAGCTCCTTTGGGTTCCACTGACATCCCTACCCCTGCCCAGAACAAGTGCCAATTCTCACTCTGGAGCCTTAATAAACTGCAGTTTGTATCCAGCCTCCGGCTCTGTTCTGTGGGAATGGCTGGGAGCCACCTGGCACGTTATTGTGTGTGGATACCTCAAGAGACACAGGGGTGGGGAACATGGGGTCATCTAGCTGGGGATAGCACTGGGGTCTCGGGAGCTTACTCTGAGGCTGAGATCCCGTCTCTCTGGCCAATCTTTTTCCTTTAACACATGCAAGAGGCCAGCAGTTCCTTGGCTGTAGCAAGACTGAGAGGCATTGAGCAGGTGAGTGGGAGCTGTAGGCCTGACATCTGAAAAGGGCGGAGGTGGATACAAGAGAAGCTAAGCAAAGTGATTTTTTTTTTTTTTTTTGCTTAGAGCCACTAAATATCCACATTATAATAAAAACTCACATTTGTTGAGTCTGCCATACTAGGCTCTCTGCTGGGTGATTTGCTTGCTTTATTTCAGTATAAATGTTTGCTGCAACTGTATGAAGCAGACCACTTTTATGTAATAATTCCTGTATTATAAAGGAAATCTAAAGTCAGAGATTATTTTCCTGATGGGGGCACTCACAGCCGGTGGGAATCCGAGGATTAATCAGTGCTTAGCTAGGTAGAGGGGGAAATCCTAGGGCAGCCCCATCCCCGCTCTTTTCCAGTATTCAGGACCCCACATTTGAGTGGGAGGAGCCAGCATCGTCACTAGTTACTAGGCAGGGGAGGCGGTGATGGAAGACGGCTCATGTGATCCGTCATGTGACACCTGATCAGCAGAAAGGCGGAATGAGACTACGAGTGTGGTGAGAAACCAAGGGTGCCCAGGTGAAGGGGATCACATTGGAGGGAGTGCATGTGGGAGAGTGGGAACATAATGACGGTTCACTCCCCGATAAAACCTACCTGCCATCTCTGCAGCCTCCTCGGGCTCTTTGCCCTCATCGGCACCAGCAAATGCAGTTACAGCCCGGAGCCAGACCAGCAGCGGACGTGAGTTGACTTAGCACTGACCACCCTGTCCTCTTGCGCTGTTCTGCGCCCACTGTCCTGGTCCTGGCTCCCCTCACTTTCGTACCAGCTCCTGGTACTCACTCCATGAAAGCTCCAGGCTTGTCCCCTGTCATTCACCTCCTGGGATTCACATCCACTTCTGGGATCCTACCCAAAGTCCCAGCTCCTAATCCATGATCCATTTCCCATCCACACCCTGACCACGGCCATGTTCCTGACCCCTGACTCTGCAGGCTGCCCCCTGGCTGGGTGTCCCTGGGCCGTTTGGATCCTGAGGAGGAGCTGAGTCTCACCTTTGCCCTGAGACAGCAGAACCTGAAGAGACTGTCAGAGCTGGTGCAGGCTGTGTCGGATCCTGGCTCTCCTCGCTATGGTGCCTGTTGGGACTGAGGGCAGGAAGTGGGGTGCAGTGGAGGGGCAGAGGAGGGCATGGGGTGGTGTAGACGATGACGGGTCATGCTCCTGGTACCTGGCAAGGGGGTGATATCAGGCAAATGAAAGGCAGTGACCATCACTGAGGAATCTCTTTGTAAAAAAATTTTTCCTGGTACATGTTTGGAGTATATAATGATTACATTCTTCGTGGGGAGTTAGTACATGTACATAACAACAGTAAACTGGAACCTAACTATCTAAAAGTAACGCACTCTCCCCACCCCAACCCCTGCGAAACTTCCATTGTGTTCCTAGGTTTAAAGACCAAAGAGTAAATGTGGTTAAGAACAGTCTTTATGATCAACTCTAGATTTGATTTCTCACTACTGTTTAGCAGCAACCACACAAATGAGGAAATATAGCACCTAATACATAAGAGTGCTCATCAACTCAAATTTGTCCCCCATCCCTAAATCTATACCTATTTCCCCCTGTATTTAGGAGTTCCAACTCCGACATTGCCCTTGGAGTAGTCTACTTCTGGCCAACGCTTCTTGTCGCTAGCTCAGTTGTTTATTCTCCCTCCTGTACTACTGCTTAACTCCCCACTCATCTGCAGTCTCCTCCCTTCCAACCCACTCTTCACTGTGCTCCAAAACAGTCTCTCCAATGGCCAAGCTGGATCGTATGCTTCTTTTAGCTAAAAGCTCCACAGCAGCCAGAGGGTGTGTGTGGGTGTGAAGGGTGGAGGTGTGTGTGTGGGGTGGGGTTCAGATCACCTAAGCATAGTAGTACTAGTGTGCATGGCTCCATACAGGAAACAGTGACTCACCAACATGTTAAATCAAGTATAATGGTCTGAGTTAAATTAGATGTTATCATATAATTGGTTCCAAAAGTTTTGAAAACTTTTATTGGTGATAAAGTGGAAAACTGTAAATGTATTAACTTGATTTGTTTTTCGTGATCATGGCAAGGCTTGGTGAGGTACGGCACTTGCAACCTACTACCCTTTAGGGTAAATTCATATTTCTTGACCATGGAATTTAAAGTCATTCTAACCTTTTTTCCTCTGGCCCCCAAATATACCCAGCACCTGGACAACCCTCTCTGAGAAGTCCTGCTATCTTCTAATTGGGGTCCAAAGAGGTAATCTGAGAAAGCAATGAATGAAGGCAAGATCCTCTTCTGAATCCCTGCAGGAAAATACCTGGCCCTAGAAGATGTGGCTCAGCTGATCCGGCCATCACCACTGACCCTCCGCACAGTCCAAAAATGGCTCTTGGCAGCTGGAGCCCGGAACTGCCATTCAGTCACCACACAGGACTTTCTGACTTGCTGGCTGAGTGTCCGGTGAGAGGAAATAATTGCGCTATGGAGGACACCAATTGTCCCTTCAGAAGCCTAGCCACCCCCATGGGAGGGAGTTGAGAGTTTGACGAGAGCTTATAGTAGTACTTAAGGCATGAGAAGGTGATCACTGACTGACTGACCTGTGGTACTCTGATGGCAGCCTCTGCTCCAGTCCATGCTTTCTGACCTCCGTTTTATGATCTTTTTCAGGCAAGCAGAGCTGCTGCTCCCTGGGGCTGAGTTTCACCGCTATGTGGGGGGACTAGAAGAGACCCGTGTTGTAAGGTCCCTACGTCCCTACCAGCTCCCTCAGGCCTTGGCACCTCATGTGGACTTTGGTAAACCCAGTGGGGTTGGTGGGGGTTGGGGAAGGTATACCCAGGGAATGAAGAAGTTTAGATGCCAGAGGGGGCTGTGGGGTACAGTTAGTGGTAAAGCCGGAACTGAAGTCTTTAAGATCTCCTCACGTGTGACCCCTCTCCACAGTGGGCGGACTGCATCGCTTTCCCCCCACATCGTCCCTGAGGCAACGCCCTGCGCCACAAGTGGCAGGAACTGTTGGCCTGCACCTGGGAGTGACTCCATCTGTGATCCGTGAGCGATACAACTTGACAGCACGTGATGTGGGCTCCGGCACTACCAACAACAGCCAGGCTTGTGCCCAGGTGAGCCAAGCTGAGGGAGCTCTGTGGTTCTCACAGCCTCCCTGTGAAGTGACTTCCATGCTTTACTACCTTGGGACTTACCCTTTGTCCCATGATCCCTGTTCTGACTCCCTCCATAGTTCCTGGAGCAGTACTTCCATGAGTCAGATCTGGCAGAGTTCATGCGCCTCTTTGGTGGCAAGTTTGTACACCAGGCATCAGTATCCCACGTGGTTGGAAAACAGGGCCGCGGCCGGGCTGGGATCGAGGCCAGTCTGGATGTGGAATACCTGATGAGTGCTGGCGCCAACATCTCCACATGGGTCTACAGTAACGCTGGTACAACTGAGGGGACTAGCTGCGGGCAAGTGGGTTGGAAGTGGCTCTTGATTCCCTGAAGGGAATGCCAGGAGCTAGAGGGAGACCCTGAAATCCCCCCATGACTACATTATCCACCTCTCAAAAAAAAAATCTAGGCCGCCATGAGGCACAGGAACCCTTCCTGCAGTGGCTTCTGCTGCTCAGTAACGAGTCAGCCCTGCCACATGTGCATACTGTGAGCTACGGAGACGATGAAGACTCCCTCAGCAGTGCCTACATCCAGCGGGTCAACACCGAGTTCATGAAAGCTGCCGCTCGGGGTCTCACCCTGCTGTTTGCCTCAGGTGACTTCCTGTCCTAAACTTAGGCCTCCTACCCTAAATTGAGTCCTCCCATCCACCCACCCAACGTGGAAGCTTTGACCCCACAGTGAATCATAATCTGATCTCAGAGTCTCAGTAGGGACCGCTGACATGACCTCTAAACTCTGGCCTGCTGCAGTAACAGCTGATACCCAAATTTCTCTCTGGCATCTGAACCTACATACAAGCTCTGATCGACTAATATGAATACCAAACTTGCCTCTCTCCCAGGCGACAGTGGGGCTGGGTGTTGGTCTGTGTCTGGAAAACATCGGTTCCGTCCTAGCTTCCCTGCTTCCAGGTAAGCACCCCAAGCTTCCATTTACCTGAGACCTTGTAATCTAGAGCCTTTGTCTTTGAGCCCACCAGGTGCTCCTGTGGCTCAGCATTCAGCCTTACCTGCCCTGCTTGCTACACTCCCTTCTTTCTACAGGTTAAGCCCTTAGTCTCCCAGTATTCTTCTTCCTCAACCCCTATGCATCTTACTGGCAGATTTGTTCCATAGAGAAAAATATGCATAGTCAGTGCAGGCCACAGTGAGGGCTGAAATCCTCCTAGTCAGTCCTGTGTGCATGCATATGCCTGCCCCCAGGATCCACCCCTCCAGCAAGATCCAGGCTATCCTCACCCATCCCTACACATCTTGGGCATCCTCTGTGTCTCCTATTATCTGAATGCTCTCTTCTCTCTCAGCCCGTATGTCACCACAGTGGGAGGCACTTCCTTCCAGAACCCTTTCCGAGTCACAAACGAGGTAGCTGACTATATCAGTGGTGGTGGCTTCAGCAATGTATTCCCACAGCCTTCATACCAGGTACGTGCATGTTCAAGTGGCTAGAAAGGGGCTTGGAAGATCTTCAGTTCAGCAAATTGCTGTGCAGGCTACAGGCCAGGACTCACTCAGAAATGCCTTTCAGGAGGAAGCTGTAGCCCAGTTCCTGAAATCTAGCCCCCACCTGCCACCATCCAGTTACTTCAATGCCAGTGGCCGTGCATATCCAGATGTTGCTGCACTTTCTGATGGCTACTGGGTGGTCAGCAACGGTATACCCATTCCATGGGTATCTGGAACCTCGGTGAGAATCAGCCTGGTTCCAGCCCTCCACTCAGGAACTGCCCTCACTCTCTGTCCCCGAGACCTTGTCACCGGGAACCTCTGACTCCTCAAAGACCTTTGATAACTTTCAAAAATCCCTCCCCAAAAGTTCAATCACTCTGAAATCCTGACCTCTCCTTGCACCCTCACCTTGCAGGCCTCTACTCCAGTGTTTGGAGGAATCCTTGCCTTGATAAATGAGCACAGAATTCTCAATGGCCACCCGCCTCTTGGCTTTCTCAACCCAAGGCTCTACCAGCAGCGTGGGGCAGGGCTTTTTGATGTGAGTGTGGAAGGGAAGATTGTTGATGTTTCAATACAAATATGGCAAGGGCTCAGATGGATTTGGAGGCAGTTCTGATACGGTGGGATAGCCTCTGGAATGTAAACACAGGGTGAACAGGGGTCTGTTAGTCTGGTACCAACAAGCCCAGATCTGATTCCCACCTCCTCTCTAGGTAACCCGTGGCTGCCATGAGTCCTGTCTGAACGAAGAGGTGGAGGGTGAGGGTTTCTGCTCCGGCCCTGGCTGGGATCCTGTAACAGGCTGGGGAACCCCCAACTTCCCAGCTCTGCTGAAGACTCTACTCAACCCTTGACCATTTCCTGCCAAGAAAGCTGACCGGTCCCCTGCTCTATAGCTGGTGGCTTGGTCCCTCATCCTGCCTTGTTGGAAGCTCTGCTGAACCCTCAACCACTGACTGCAGCAGTCAGTTTATATCCCTAACCCTGAAGTGCTGTGAGCTTAATTCCCAACCCTGCCCTCTTGTCATACTCAGGTCTCCCTATTCCAGCCTCAGGTTCCTTAACAAGCAGCTATAACCAGCACTGTTGTCACCCCCTCCCCAACCTCTTCCACTTTGCAAACATGGATATGAATGTACAGGAGATGTAGTTTGTTGGTACTGATACCAGCAGTCTCAGATCTTTTTGCTTTATGGTCTTCCTGTCATATTTGCCCGCTCACACTCATTCCTTAGCTTCCAGGATTAACTTCTTTCATCACCCGGTCTTCGTCCTTCACAGACTTGTTTTCTGCTTCCTCATGAAATGCCAGCATTCTTTGTTGCTCCATCTCTAGCTTCCTGGTCTTATCATTTTACTTAAGGACCCCTGAAACAAATCGGTAGTCATCACCATCTGGTTAAATCTGACTTTCTATACAATGGTGATTGTTGGTCAAATATAAGACGTGTGATACTCAACACTTCATCTCCCTTTGTCTCAACCCCAAACTATATCTCTTGTTTCTTCTCAGTAAATCATACTATGCTTCTTCCAAACAAGCTGGAAGCCTCCTTTTTTTTTCATCTCCCTAGTTAAGTTTATCTCTGTGTGACTGCTTCGTCATTGTTAAGTGAGGATAGCAATACCTGCGTTTCAGAATCAGGGAATAAAATTATGTGGAATAATGTAAATAGAGTAACTGGCATGTGGAACTAGGTGAATGTTCTCATCTTCCCTTGAACACCCTGCCTACCTCTAGCATTGTAATCACCATACAGTATTGAAATTGTCAGTTTGTTTGCCTCCCTTTTCAACGCCATGTTGGTGCCCAGAGGGCTAACTTTCCCAGGTCCTATCTCAGGAGCTGGGAAATAGGAATTAAATGTCTGTCGAAAAGAAAACCTCTTTTCCACTCGCTGTGATTTTGTGTTTCTTGTTTGTTCAGGTGCAAATAACCCCCTCTCCCTTTACAGCAGCACTGTCCACTGCCCTCCTCTGAGCAGTTGGGTTTTCCAACTCCTCTACAACCCTAAAAGGGTTAAATAAGCAATGCAAGGTGAAGACTGTCTCGAGCCTCGCCTGTGTGCCCCCAAAAGGTCCAAGGGTCCGTCTAAGTGAAGGAGGGCGGGACGCGCAAAGCTCCACCCCGAGCACTGCGGGGAGCAGGGTGGGACGGCGGCCTCGGCGCAGCTCCCAGGCTCGTCCCCGCCCCGCTGTCGGATCCACCAACTCCGCCTACGGCGCTTGGGGGCGGTGGACGTGCAGGAGCGAGCGAACGCGGACAGGCGGGGCGCGTCGGGGGCGTGTGACGTCACCGGGGGCGTGCCGAACGTGAGCGGAAGCGGAAGCGGCTCTGTTTGCCGCCTCTCCCACCGGCCCGATGAGCTGCAGCGGCTCCGGCGCGGACCCCGAGGCGGCGCCAGCGTCCGCCGCCTCGGCCCCAGGCCCAGCGCCCGCGGTCTCGG